TGTTCATTGCACAATTCCATCAATAAGATTTAAGTTCTGCTCTTCTCCACTTCTCACTAGTGCACTTGACTAGTCTTAAAATAAAAAAAATTAAAATAGGCTGGGCATGGTGGCTCATGCCTGTAATCCTAGCACTTTGGGAGGCCAAGGCACAGTGATTACTTGAGATCAGGAGTTCAAGACAAGCCTAGACAACATGGTGAAACTCCATTTCTACTAAAAATACAAAAATTAGCTGGGCATGGTGGCAGGTGCCTGTAATCCCAGCTACTTGGGAGACCACAACCCAAGAATCGATTGAACCGGAAGGCAGAGGTTGCACTCCAGCCTGGGTGGCAGAGCCAGACCGTGTCTGAAAAATAAGGAATTAATTAAGTAAGTAAGTAAGTAAAAATTAAAAATACATTCTCTACCACTCTTCCTGTGCCTAGAACTTAGGAGGTGCACAATAAATGTTTGCTAATTTAGACACACACACACACACACACACACACACACTAAGGTATTTGGCAGCAGAGAGAGATTATCATGATAATTCTAAAAATATGTAGCACTCATAAGAGTTTAAGTTGATACGATTTTTCTTTTTTTTTTTTTTCCTTTTGAGACAGAGTCTCTCTCTGTCACCCAGGCTGGAGTGCAATATTGTGACGTAGGCTCACTGCAACCTCTGACTCCCGGGTTCAAGCGATTCTCCTGCCTTAGCCTCCTGAGAAGCTGGGATTACAGGCGCCCACCACCACACCCGGCTAATTTTTGTATTTTTAGTAGAGACAGAGTTTCACCATGTTGGTCAGGGTGGTCTTGAAAAGCTGACCTCATGATCCGCCCACCTGGATCTCCCAAAGTGCTGGGATTACAGGTGTGAGTGCACCCGGCCGATACAAATTTTCTAAAGAGAAATGTTACCATCTTTTTTTTTTTGTACTGTTAGTAGAGATGGGGTTTTGCCATGTAGGCCAGGCTGGTCTCAAGCTGCTGACCTCAAACGATCTGCCCCATGGGCCACCTAAAGTGCTGAGATTACAGGTGGGAGCCACGGCATTTGGATATCATCTATTTTAAAAAAAAAAAAGAGCTTCAGAAAGATCATGACATTCAATTCAGGAAGTCTACTTGTAGGGCGGAATAGAGATTCAGACAAATATTTATCTATAAAAGCGCCCTTGTAGCATTATATAGTAATGGGAAATATAAGGCTTGGTTAAATATATTATGAAGCCATAAAATAATAAATGGTTATAGCAAAAAAATTGTTAGGCTGGGGGCAGTGGCTCACGCCTGTAATCCCAGCATCTTAGGAGGCTGAGGAGGGCAGATCACCTGAGGTCGGGAGTTCAAGAGCAGCATGACCAACATGGAGAAACCCTGCCTCTACTAAAAATACAAAATTAGCTGGGTGTGGTGGCACATGCATGTAATCCTAGCTACTCTGGAGGCTGAGGTAGGAGAATCGCTTGAACCGGGAGATGGAGGTTGTGGTGAGCCAAGATCACGCCATTGCACTCCGGCCTGGGCAACAAGAGGGAAACTTCATCTCAAAAAAAAAAAAAAAATTGTTACAGCAATTAAATGGCTATAGAAAAGGGTGTGTCATCTGTTACTAAATTTGAAAAGTAGGTAACAAACTAGCATGATCAGTTTTCCTTATACAAGGTAAAACTTTCCTGACTGGGCTCAGTGGCTCACTCCTGTAATGCCAGCAATTTGGGAGGCTGAGGCAGGCAGATGACTTGAGCTCAGGAATTTGAGACCAGCCTAGGCCACATGGTGAAAACCCATCTCTACAAAATACAGAAAAAAAAAAAAAAAGAAAGAAAGAAAGAAAAGAAAATTTAATTGGGCATGGTTGCATGCGCCTATAGTCCCAGCTACTCAGGAGGCTGAAATGGAAGGATCACTTGAACCCAGGGAGGTCGAGGCTGCAGTGAGCCCAGATCGCAGCCTGCACTCCAGCCTGGGTGACAGAGTGAGGCCCTGCTTCAAACAACAGCAGCAACAAAAACAAACAAACAAAAGACCTGGCCTACCACGTCACCTTCCCACCCTCCCCTTCCCATCTCCAGCTCCAAAACAAACAACTTTGTAAAGTGTGTACTCCAGAATGTCTATCATTGTTACTTCTTGGTTGTGAGATTATGGATGTTTCAGAGTTTCTTCTGTGTGCTTATCTAGGTTTTTTTGTTTTGTTTTTGAGATAAAGTCTCACTCTATTGCCCAGGCTGGAGTTCAATGGCATGAGTCACTGCGCCCAGCCTTATCTGTGTATTTTTAAATGTTTACAATAAACTAATAAAACAACATGTTGTTTAACTTGTTTCATTTTAAAACACTGTTTAAAATTATTATAAGTAAACCAAAGTGGATTTCCTAAGGACTTGTAGCTACAGAGTATCTCAAAGCAGAAAAACTGAAATTTGCAAGTGAATTAGAATCATAAAAAGTCTGAATATTTTCTCTCTTCATTACTGTTACCCAAACATTTATCTCAAGTGGAAACATTTTTCTCTGGGCTCCAGAAAAGATTTGTAAAATTGCTACTGCCTGCCAAAAGAAATTAATATTGCAAATAATAATTAGGTTAACAATGAAAACCCTGGGGGGTAAATTAAAAAACCACAATTCACAATTATCCTTGAGTGGAATCTGCAGAGGTTGGAGGTAAATGGAGAGCTCCTCTTTCAAAGTCAAATCAAATCAGTGGTGTTAAGCACCACAGCATGGACAGGACCCACTGAACTAAGCTCTGAGGAAACACAAAATGTGTGACCCAAAGTCCTTGCTCCCCAGAGACAGCACTAATGTAGCCGAGGAAATTCCTGTTAGAAATCGGTTTGCAGTGAGTAGGAAGGATGGTGTGAGGTGAATAGTGGGGTTGTGGATAGTGTGGATTGTCATTCCTTTGATCTGAACCAGGGGTTGCAAAAACATAATCTGAAAATCGAATCAGCCCTGCAGACAAGATAAAGCATTTATAATACTTAAAAACATGTTAGAAACCAGCTGGTTGTGGTGGCTCACACCTGTAATCCCAGCACTTTGGGAGGCCGATGTGAACAGATCACTTGAGGTTAGGAGTCGGAGACCAGCCTGACCAACATGGGTGAAAATGCGTCTCTACCAAAGAGTATAAAAAATTAGCCGGGTGTGGTGGCGTGTGCCTGTAATCTCAGCTACTTGGGAGGCGGAGGCAGGAGAATTACTTGAACCTGGGAGGTGGAGGTTGCAGTGAGCTGAGATTGCGCCACTGCACTCCAGCCTGGGCAACAGAGCCAGACTCCATCTCAAAAAAAAAGAATAATAATAAATTAGAAACCTATTTAGCTCATTTCAGGCATAGCACAGAGCAACTAATCCAAATCACAAATTTCAGTTATTTGTTCCTACAGGTATAGTTTTTGATTATTATATTTAAGCTATTCGTGGATTCCTACTTGAAAATTGACCGACATTTGTCAAACAAAAAAATCCAGAGAATACTGATTTTTGACGACAAATATGAAAGTGCTGTGCTATTTATTTATTTATTTATTTATTTAGATTGAGACAGGGTCTCTTTCTGTTACCCAGGCTGGAGCGCAGTGGTATGATCATGGCTCACCACAGCCTCCATCTCCTAGGCTCAAGTCATCATCCAGCCTCAGCCTCTCATGTAGCTGGGACCAAAGATGCACACACCATGTCCCGCTAATTTTTTGATATTTTTGTAAGGGCAGGTTATCACTCTTGCCTGGGCTGGTCTTGAACGCCTGAGCTCAAGAGATCCTCCCACCTCAGCCTCCCAAAGTGCTGGGATTATAGGCATGAGTCACCATATCCAGCCTACTAAATTTTAATAACGGTAACTTCTGCAATTCTCAGGAAATAGCTGCTAGGTAGGATTTCCTCCTAGGTCACTTTTCTCTCCTTTCCTCTCCCTTCCACTACCCTTTCCTCTCTTTTTCTGCTTTGCCAGAATGAGTCTCGCTCTGTTGCCCAGGTTGGAGTACACTGGGGTGATCTCGGCTTTCTGCAACCTCCATCTCCCAGGTTCAAACGATTCTCCTACCTCAGCCTCCCGAGTAGCTGGGATTACAGGCATGGACCAACGCACCTGGAATTTTTTGGAATTTTTTAGAGACAGGGTTTCACCATATTGGTCAAGCTGGTCCCTAACTCCTGACCTCAAGTAATCTGCAGGACTCGGCCTCCTAAAATGCTAGGATTACAGGTGTGAGCCACTGTACCTGACCTCTAGGCCACATTCTTATAGCTTTGTCCTGTCACCATTTATCTGCCAGGAACAAAATAAAGAAACAAACACAAGTAAGCCAATGTCAAGGAGGAAAAAAAAAAAAATCAAAACAAATTAAGATTCTATCATGCTGGGAAGGTAGGTATAGATAAATTCCCCTAGCACCCTAATGGCCAGGATATTGAATTTCCTTATCCTGAAGACAGTCAGGAGTGTCGGATATGGAGACAGACTAGAAATTTAAAATCAGTCTCTAAATTTTAGAAACAAGGCTGAGTGCTGTGGCTCATGCCTGGAATCCCAGCACTTTGGGAGGCTGAGGTGAGCAGATCACCTGAGGTCTGCAGTTTGAGACCAGCCTGGCCAACATACTGAAACTCTGTCTCTACTAAAAATACAAAAATTAGCTGGGTGTGGTGGCGGGTGTCTGTAATCCCAGCTACTCGAGAAACTGAAGCAGGAGAATCTCTTGAACTCAGGAGGTGGAGTTTGCAGTGAACCGAGATGGCACCACTGCACTCCAGCCTGTGCAACAGAATAAGAGTCCATCACAGAAACAAAATGTATTGATATGAGTTCATTTTGAAGATCATTCTCCACACTTGGAGCATGAGACTATGCCTCTCAGCAATTTTGGTCAGTCTCCAGATTAGTAACTGTGACTTGCCACCCTGGCTGATGGGCTGGCAGGAAGGAGTGTGTCGCATCAGAGATTGCCACAGGCACTCAGGGCAATGTGATTTGTTGCTTAAAGAGGGAGGCAGCTCAAGAGCATCTCATCCTCCCGCTGCTGAGTCATCCTGCTCTGGCAGTTATTTAAACAGAAGCCTCCAGGAGACATATAATCAACACTGCACTCAGACAATGCCCAGACCTCCAGAAATCATGTGTCAAGCTCGGATTGCCTTAGACAGGTGCAATTTGAAAACAGCTTTCATCTTCTTTTCTGTCATGTTGGTACACTATGGGTTCTGACTTCTGACTCCTTTTCTCACAAGAAGTTCATCCACCTGTCACTCTTATGGGACCTTGGCACCAGAGACAGCAATTCATCTTTGAAGTTCTCTAACAGCAACAGTGGTATTTCTGACTTGGCTTTCTTGTATTTCTCTCACGTTGACAAAATTGGTTGAGCATCTACCATGGGCTGCATGTGAGCTACAGGTAAGGCTTGGCTAAAGGATGAATAAGACCCACTCCTTATCTTCAGGAACTTGTCTAGCAGAAGAGTCTGTCAAGTAATCAGGAAACCCCAATATACAACGTGATAGCTTGAAGACAGGTATATACAAGATGATGCTCTGGATCTTAACTGTTTGGGGATTACCTTGTCTGAAAGCTATCACCCTTTTTATATGCCATTTGGGAGGAATTAGGGGGATGTGGGAAGCATCAAAGGGATAGGGGAGGATGGACATTTTAGAAGGGTTTTTCAAATTTGACAATATATTTGCATTTCCACCTGTCTGCCAGCCCTTGTCCAGTTTGACCTGGGCACTCACTGCTGGCGGTGAGTAGTGTTGATAGTTCTTTTTCCTGCCCATCCTGGAGGTGTTCCCTTCAATATGTCAAATGAGGACTCCTGTTACATTTGGCTGTCATCTATCAGCCACAACTGTCCAGCCCAGAAGAGCTGGCCTTGGCTTTAGAACCTGCATCCTGGCTGGCCTTCTTTACCACTTTATTAAGGAATCTGACTTGCTCTTTGGTATCCTATGTGCTCCAGGTGCTGTTGATGAAACTGCTAAAGGAGCTGAATGTGACTGACGTCTTTGGAAGGATGAGACTTAGCGTGCCTGTACAGTTGTGTCTAAATGCTGTCCTTACCTCCCAAAGGAAAGGTATTGTAAATAAAGAGAAAGGTCAGAGGCTTAAACACTAAATATGAGCTAGGAGCTGTCCTAGACACTATGTAAAAGTTTTATTTAGTTCTCACTGTAATGTTGGCCTTATGTTAGCATCCCATTTTTTAGACTGAGGAAATTATGGCTCAGAGAGGTTAAGAGACTTATTGAAGGTCACACAGCTCCACAAATGTTGTGTAGATTGAATGCGTACATGGGTCTATGCGACTTTGAATCTTGTTTTCTTTACATTATTGGAATATTTCCCAGAAGGAAAATGAAATATTAACATGGCAATAAGATTTCTTATTCCAGTCTGATTATTGGGTCTTCCAAGAGTGTTATAGGATGCATAGCCTGAGTCTCTGAAGCTTTGTTCTGAAGCATGCTACCAATCTGAACAAATTAGTATGCAAGGAAGCCACAAATTATACTAAAATCTAATTCATCAGAGGAAAATTTGGTTAAATATATTTACATTCCCAGAACTATTAATATCGAAGAATAAAACACAGAGTGGGAAACAGACGAAGAGAAAGAAAATACGCATGTTTTTATGACTTGTTGATATCTATGGGGTTTTTCCTTAAGCCTCAAAACAATTTACAGCATTGCCAGCAGCATTCAGTACATTCAGAACAGGATCATTTCACCCACAGCTGAACTAGGGCCATGCCTGGGACAGACAGAGCACGGCCTTCCAGCAGACATGGCAAGGAGCAAACCAGGGTCAGCGAGTGAAGAGGAGGGCAGGCCCATTTGAAGCAACACTGTTTATGTAAGTGTGATCTAACTGCTTTCACTGAAAATGGGTCAGACTCCAGTTGAGAAAACCAGGGGTCTCAATGACTTCAGCAAAATCACTCGGCATTTCTTTCAGCACCTCCGAGGATATGGCCCTGTGACGACGTAATGACGTTTGGATTAATTTCAGTTGGCCGTGTTTCCCCCTCCTTTCGTGCTTCCTCATACTTGATTTGCTCATTCGTTTTTTTGTTTTGCTTAAATACACTAAACTAAACAGGATACATTATATGACAGTTCGTGATAAATTTACCACTGGGAATAGGGAAAAAGTATGGGATAAAGAAATAGGTCTTTTTCGCCTCTCACAGCTGTGATTCAGTTCTGACTCAAAAGGAAGTGTGCCACCTACTGAATCACAGAAACCACTTCCTGTGGCTGTTTGGTTTATTCTGGAGGAGCATCAGGCCAAGTGCTGCCCTGCCCTGACCCTGGCGGGCTCTTCAGAGCCAAGGCATTCACAGCTTGAGGTGGTTTGGCCTCAGACTCTTGAGAACATTGCATATTAAATTACAAGTGTTTCGTTTCCTAGCAAGGAGTCTTTAGCAACATGCAAACGAACATGTGTTATTTGCAAACCAAGTGTATCATTACTGAACCTGAATATCCTTACTTTCTCATAAGGTATGTATTCCGGATGACCAGTCTTAAGATCTGAATGTACACTGGCTCTGTTTTTACTGAGGGCAACATGGACAGTCTGCAGGGTTGCATTAACCAACTGAGGGAGTTCAAGAGTACCCTTTAGTCGGTGAAGCAACACTGAACTTGTATTCACTCACTCAACGTATTTTTGGGCATGTGCTTATTGCCATGTGCCGAGCTAGGTAGGGGTAGAGGATACAGTGATAAACAAGACCCTGCAGCTCCTGATCTCATGGCTCATGTGTTCTACACTGTAAGGGAATTACGCTCTGTTCCCGGGGCAGGGGCCTTCCTCTGTTCACCATGCAGCCCCAACATCTAGCACTTGGCCTTGCATAAAAGAACCTCTAAATCAAGCTTGTTCAACCCAAGGCCATGGGCCGCATGTGGCCCAGGATGGCTTTGAATGCTGCCCAACACAAATTTGTAAAATTTCTTAAAACATTATAAGATGTGTGTGTGTGTGTGTGTGTGTGTGTGTGTGTGTGTGTGTTTTAGTTCATCAGCTATCATTAATGTTTGTATATTTTCTGTGTGGCCCAAGACAATTCTTCCTGTGTGGCCCAGGGAAGCCAAAAGTTTGGACATCCCTGCTCTAAATACTTGTTTGTTGAATGGATACATGAAAAGAAAGAAGGAAGGAGGAGGAAAGAAGGGAGGGAAGAAGGGAGAAAGGAAGGGAAGAAAGAAGTAGAGAGGAAGAGAAGTGACAGCTGGCGCGGTGGCTCAAGCCTGTAATCCCAGCACTTTGGGAGGCCAAGGTGGGCTGATCACCTGAGGTCAGGAGTTCGAGACCAACCTGGCCAACATGGTGAAACCCCATCTCCACTAAAAACACAAAAATCAGCTGGGTGTGGTGGCACATGCCTGTAATCCTAGCTACGTGGGAGGCTGAGGCAGGAGAATCTCTAGAGCCTAAGAAACGGAGGCTGCAGTGAGCTGAGATTGTGCCACTGCACACCTGTCTGGGTGAGAGAGTGAGTCTCTGTCTCAAAAAGAAAGAAAAAAAAAGAAAACCATTATTATTTTTTTTTCGTATTTGCAAGTGAAGAAAAAAGCACCAACGTACTTTTTTTCTTCTGTAATTAGATTTTCAAATAGACTGAAAGTTTCTGTTCTTAGGTGGGTCTGGAGACTCTAGTACCTCAGAACACATGTGGTCTCTTGATTTTTTTTTTTTTAATGTTGATGTTTTTGATTTTATTTTAAAATAATTTTTTGTAAATGAATATGCTTACATATGTTTGGGTTTTTTTTTTTTTTTTTTTTTAGAGACGGGGTTTTCCCATGTTGGTCAGGCTGGTCTCTGACCTCAGGTGATCTGCCTGCCTCGGCCTCCCAAAGTGCTGGGATTACAGGTGTGAGCCACCGTTCCCAGCTGTTTGTGTTTTTTTGAGACAGGGTCTTGCTCTGTTGCTCAGGCTGGAGAGCAGTGGCATGATCACAGCTCACCGTAGCCTTGACCTCCCAGGCTAGGGACTACAGGTGTGCACTGGGGTGCACCACCACACCCAGCTAATTTTAATTTTTTTTTTTTTTTGTAGATACTCTGTTGGCCAGACTGGTCTTGAAATCCTGGACTCAAGCAATTCTCTCGCTTTGGCATCTTAAAGCATTAGGATTACAGGAGTGAGTACCGCACCCTGCCCGCATGTGGTCTCTTAACCAGAGGAGGCCTCTTCTGAACTAGGTAGAGGTCCTAAGAATTTATTCTAAGAGTAAAAGGCTCTTTGTTCTCCTCAGAATAGATCAGAATCCCTAATGACAGAGCATCTACTACTCTAACTTAGGTTACACCTGATAAGACCAGCAATTTTTCCAAGGTATGACCAATGGCCAGGTATTTAATGATATAATTCTATGGCTCAGAGTATCTCAGCCTTTCTAAACCTCACTCTTCTTTTGACAATTGTAAAAATCTTAAACTGACCTCCAGTTGAAATCCTCTGACAAGAAGATATTGTTGGTCACGGGCAGTGGCTCATGCCTGTAATTCCAGCATTTTGGGAGGCTGAGGTGGGAGGATCACTTGAGGTTGGGAGTTCGAGACCAGCCTGGCCAACACAGTGAAACCTCATCTTTACTAAAAATACAGAAATTAGCCAGACATAGTGGCCCATGCCTGTAATCCCAGCTACTCAGGAGGCTGAGGCAGGAGAACCACTTGAATCTGGCGGGGCAGAGGTTGCAGTGAGTCAAGACTGCACCACTGCACTCCAGCTTGAGTGACAGAGCAAGAGTCTGTCTCAAAAAATGAAGAAAAAAATGAAGAAAAGAAAAAAGAAAAAAAAATGAAGAAAAAGAAGAAATCGCAATCTCTTCCTTTATGTAGATTCTTCCTCACTTGAATAATACTTTTCTTCCCCAGTATCGTCTAAATTATCCCAGAGTCAGCCCCTGTGTTTTTGTAAAGCTCTATATAACCTCTAAGTTCTCCTCAACTATCATTTCATTTGGCTCAACAAAGGGCAGGAAGCTAGATTCTAATTGATATTTTGAGGCTGGGCACAGTGGCTCATGCCTATAATCATAGCATTTTGGGAGGCCGAGGTGTGTGAATCACCTGAGGTCAGGAGTTCAAGACCAGCCTGGGCAACATGGTGAAATATCATCTCTAATAAAAATACAAAAAGTACAAAAATTAGCCAGCCGTGGTGGCAGGCACCTGTAATCCCAGCTACTCAGGGGGCTGAGGCAGGAGAATTGCTTGAACCTGGGAGGCAGAGGTTGCAGTGAGCCGAGATCTTGCAACTGCACTCCAGCCTGGGTGACAAGGCCAAACTCCATCGCAAAAACAAACAAAAAAATACCCTGATACTTTCAAAATTGAGGCAATTATAACAGTTGTTTAGCCAAGAATTATGATAGCAATAATAGCAAGAAAATAAATTGGTTCACAAATGAGTCTCAGAAGCTCAGTGATTTTTATTTTTTTATTTTTTGAACTTTTATTTTACAATCAGGGGATACATATGCAGTGTTGTTTTGAACTTTTATTTTAGAATCAGGGGATACACATGCAGGGTATACTGCATGATGCTGAGGTTTGGAGTATGCATGAATCAAATCTGTCATCCAGGTAGTGAGTATAGTACCCAACAGATAGCTTTTTTCAATGCTTACCTCACCCCCTTCCCCACTCTTATATTTCCCAGTGTCTACTGTTCCCCTTTTCACAACTGTACCAACAATATTTTTTCTTTTGTCTTTAAATAGAGATGGGGTCTCGCTGTGTTGCCCAGGTTGGTTTCAAACTCCTGACCTCAAGTGATCCTCACACCTTAGCCTCCCAAAGTGCTAGGATTACAGGTGTGAGTAATTGCGCCTGGCCCATGCCAACAATATTTTAAACCCTTATCTGCGTGTACAAGTTTGCTACTGGTTTTGTTTTGCTCATTACTGTATCCCAAGCATCTATACCTGGCATATAGTACCGGCATATAGTAGGTGCTTAAGAAATATTTACTGAATAAATAAATTAGTTTGAGAGTTAACATTTCAAGTACAACAAAATACCATTCAATTAATTCTCTTTTTCTCCTTTTATCTTTTAAGAGAGACAAATAGGCACACATGCATCAGCAGGAGAGGATACAATTTCCTGTGTTTAAGTTTTTATGATGTTACTTTAGGTCAAATGTCACAGCAAATTATATTGAACTCTTGCCCAATCTATTTTTTCCATTGGAGTATTGGCCCAAATAAGAAATAGCATCAAGGAAAAATTATTTTTTGGCAGAAAAATATCCTCTCTAAATTCTTGTGTGTTTTGTTTTGATTTTTTCCTTAGTGACAGGAGGCCAGTTTCAATCCACTGAAGCACAGATTCCAAATTTTCAATCTGGTTTTCTTGAGTAGTTCCCGAGTGCCAAAAGTGAGGCAATGACACAATATCACGACCAAGGCACTTCCCATCATGCACACGCACACCGGAGTCCAAGCCGTATTCTGGCGACTTGCAAGCTTCTTCCCCCCTAGTATTTACTTGCAAAATAATGGGTTTTGTTTTGTTTTTATTTCAAATGAATTTATTTCCTATATCTTTAACCAATTCTCATAAATTTTTTGTCTAATACACTGGTCAGTGTAGTCCAGACCCTAAAAGATAACATCATAAAACTATCTATGACCAAAAGATAATCAGTATCTTCTATTATCCTTTTTTTTTTTCTTTTAAACTTGAATTTTGACACATTTGGGAGTGAAATGATGACAATAAATGCAAAGTAATTATTGAAGAAACAATAATTTTGTATGAGCTTACTGAGAAAAAAAAGATAACCAAATATATTTTGGCAGCCCCAAACAAATCACATGTGTAATGCAGCAGGAGAGCAGTGCCCTGAAGGAAAAGGTGGCCTGCTGGACAGCCAAGAAAACAGACGGCCCCTGCAAGTAATATGAGCTCCAAGTTTGGACGAGGCCCATGTCTGCTACGAGACTGGGGGCAATTCACTTCATCTGAACCTTAATTTCTTCAGCTACAGACTAACAATATCCTACCTGCTACTTATTTTGTGAATCTCCTTTCTAAAGTTAACTCTATTCGTTGTTCCATAATCCCATACATTCTAGAATCTTTTCCTGTTATACCAAGTTGTCTGTCATTGACAGAGATATTCACCTGGTTGTTTTGGCTTCTCTAATCCTCCTGGTGAGAACACTTCCAAGGGAGCTTTCAATGGCATTTAAGGTCACTTGTGCTCTTGGGCCTAGAAATTGCCTTGATAGTGATTTTAGCTCACACGAGGTAAGTCTTTATTACATGCCCAACCTCTGTATGCATTACTTCATTTAATTGTATACTAGTCCTTTGTCATAGGTTATCAGAGTGTTTATAAGTTACAGGAAGAAAAAAAAGCAAAGTTCAATTGACTAAAACAATGGGGCATTTACAGGCTCACATAACTAAGAGTCTAGAGAGAAGGCAGCCTCAGGTTTGGCTGATCCTGTAACTCCGCCTTGTCTCCAGGTCTCCAGGTTCTGCCTCTGTCCTGACATCCAATGCTCGATTCCTCTTTACATCAATTCTTCTCTGTAGGTTGGGCCGTCAGACGTTACCTCCTTATTTATGTTGAGCAAAGGAGAGAGAATGCCTCTACAAACAACAAAGAAAGTAGCTGTTGGGAGGTGGGAAGGAATTTTATTGTGTGATCAACTAAGGCGTATACAAAGGATAGTGTTATCTGGATTGATTTGAATGAATTAGAATTTACTCTTGGAGCTGCGGCAATTCCCTGAACCACACTGATTGCTATAAAGTGGAAGAGGAATAGACTACATTTTAGGGAGTCGACTACATTTTAGGGATTCAACTACAATGTGTACCACAGGTAATATACTATGAATTTCCAATTCACAGATGAGAAACTTGAGGGATATGGTGGGAGGGAGGTTAAGTAATTTGCCCAATATCACAATTGAACCTAGGCAAAGGCCTGTCTCCAGTTCTAACATTTCATTGACCT